GTACCCTCACCCAGCTGGGCCCTGAGGAGGAGGGGGCAGGGTAGGCAGCCCTCCCTAGGAGATCCAGTCTGGGGCTGGAGGGCGGGGCCTCCAATCCCAAGAGGGGCGACTCGGTGGGGAGGCCTGGGCCGGGAGGCGGGAGCGGGAGAGAATCCACCGGGGAGGCATCGTGAATGGCTCATTAGTGCCGATGAAAGCCTTTTTTCATTTCGTCTAAATACTTTAAACAGGGCTCCCTCCGATGTCTATTTGCATAGCTTAAGAGCTAATGCGGGGGGAGGGCCCGGGCAGTGGCGGGCCACACCAGGACTAGGGGCTGCGGGGAAGCTCCTAGGCCTCCTCCACTGATGCAGGGGTGGACGGGGGAGGGCACTAAATGGTGTTTCCCAGACCCTGCCCAGAGTGGCCCTGGAGTATCTTTCTGGGTCCAGGCACCAGTGGACCGGGCAGATGGGGATCATGAGAATCTATTTTGTGGGACTCAGCTTTGTCCATACAGGCATGCAAGGGATTGACCTGGCTGCTTAGATGGTGCAGGATCATCCTTATTTTATAGATGACATGCTCAGGGTCACAAACATGATCACTCAAGAACTCGTCCCCCAGAGAGGCCAGACCTTACCTTGGGGACCAGTACCTCCCTATCCTACAGGCCTGCCTCCCGGTTGCCCTGGCAGGAGCTGCCCTCAGGTGGTCTCTGCTGCAGCCCCCAGGACACTGCTGTTTAGAGCATTCAGAAGAGGCAAAGGCTCTAAGAGGTGACTGGCCCAGACCCCTGTGATTTTAAGTGGCAGAGCTGACACTTGAATCCAGATCTGTGTGATTCTGTGCCCTGGGCCTATGGAGCAGTGTTGGAGCTGTAGTTTAGGTCCCAGGTTCAGATGTGGTTCAGCATGGAATGGGGGCTCCCTGAATCCCAGCCAAAACATTTCCTGAGGGTCTGGTTCAGCCCAGCCTCAACCCAAGTCCACAGTTCAAGAGCTCTCGAGCCAGCTCCACTTCTAAGCTGCAGAGACCTGAGCCCATTCTCCCTATGCACCAGAGTTTCCTCACCTGGCTGGGTGTTCACGGTGGACCAGCTCCAGTCCCTTCCTGCTGTGAGGCAGACTGGCCTGGAAAGACTGGGGGCTTTGAAGCTAGATGGACATAGGCTGAACTCTGCTCCAGCGCTGCAATACTTTGAGTGTGTTCTCCTCCTACCTCTCCTCCAGGCCCAGGTCCTTTGTAAAGCAGAAAGATGATTAACTCACGGAGGAGCAGTGTCAGTTAAATAATATGAGGTCTGGGAAGGGCCCAACACAGCAAGTGCCTGGTGAAACTCGGTATCTGGGCCCCTGGCACCTCCTTCTGCTGGTTCCTGTATGACACTCTGCCCCTTTGTCAGTGCCGGATCTCTAACTCAGTCAGCCAGGCAGAGAGCAATCCCTGACTTCTCAGCTATGGCCGTGGAAACCTAAGGGCCATGTATGTCGCAGAGGTTCAGGTCTTTGACAGTCAACCAGGGTGTTGGAAGACGCCCTCCCCCTAAAACAGCTTATCTCCTAGAGATTATCTTACCCTCTTTGACAGTGGGTGGCACCCTCCGGGAACCAAGTGGCAGCTGATTTTGGAATCAATTTGCTAGTTTGATATGCTATCTCAATCCCATTTAACCAAGTGTTCAGTCCCACTAGATAACACAATCAGTGCAATCGACAGTGACGGGAGGTACCCATTAGCTCCGCTCCATTGCCCAGCACCCACCTGGCTGCTGGCAGGAGAGTATGCCCGCCCGCTCTGGTCACTTCCCAAGCAAAGGATCTCTGTGCACTTCCCCTCCCAACAAAGAGTTCCACAGGTACCCACCCTGAGAGCTGTGGTGCATATCGCTTGTTGGACAGTCCTGGAAAGGGACCCACAAGCCATGTACAGCTCCGAGGGCTTCAGCCGATGTGATAAGAAAGGCTCTTCTTCCTGTGTCATGCTTAAATCAGTCGCAGCTCCCCTGACAGACTGGGTGACATCTGGGGGTATAGGCAAAGAGAATACCCCTGTCTTGGCATGTCACAGGTACTGCCTGGATCCTCCATCACTGATTCAGATGAAAGACACTGGGCAGTCTCAGACCATCTGCTCTGGGGGGTATAAGCTTGGCCAGGCATCTAGTTTGGACACTGATATCAGAGCCTGGCACGGAATGTCAGGACACAGATGGGCTGCTTTAGTGAGCATCTCAGGAGATAGCAGCTAGTCCTGGTGTCTCAAGGCTTTGGGTTGCCCAGGCCCCTCTGATCCATGGGAATGAAGAGTACTCCAACCTGTACCGCCTCCCCCAGCCCAATTTCTTCCCTCCTCCCATTTGTCTGACACATCATAGCTGCTCTGGTCTCCTGAACAGAATGTAGGCCATCTGGCACTTCCTCACGCCTGCCAATCTATGGAGTGGGTGTGAGCCTGTGGAATGACAGCCCTACCACCAGACGTGCAGAAAAACTGACTTTCTCCTTGCAAACTCTGTTATCTCACCCCGGCTGTACTTCCTTTCAAGTCCTTATGCAGCCATTTTGAGGACTGTAGGAATCAGGAATATTCTCCCAGCCTTCTCAGAGTTGATAAAATTCTGGATGAACTGAATCCAGAGCCCGCATCCATTGACCTTATCATGACAGGTTAAGGACTCGGGGAACCTAGTGGGCCACAAGCAGAATATGTATTATCTCTCCAGTTATATGGTTGAATAAGTCTACATAATCAATAGTAGAGCAATCTGTACCTCTGACCAAAGATAGCAAATAAACTTCTTCTTAGGCTGACTGGTAGGGGCTACCTGGATAACCATGTTGAGAAGGGGGTTCTGAAATCCCATGTGGCCTCAGGAAGGAATAACCAAAACTGATCAGCAGTGTCCACCATGAAGGGGAGCGGGCAGCATGCCAGATGTTCATTCCATCCCTGTTTCAGACACTGCCCTAGAAGGGCCCTGACTAGTCTCATAAGAAAGAGAATTCAAGGAAACATAGTGAATGGAGAAGAGAAGCAGCATTATCTTGGTCAGTCATAAAGAGAAGTCCCATATTACATATGAGAAAACGAAGGCTTGGAGAGTTTGTGCTACTTGCTCGAGGACACGGAGTGATGGATCTGAGAGCTGAAGCCTCATCTGTCCAGCTCCAGACCTTGGCTCTCCCCACTCATTTTACTGTTCTGGAAGGACCATAAAATGAGGAAAGAGGAAATAAATGTCTTTTTTTTTTTTTTGGGTACTGGTAATCAAACTCAGGACCTTGTGCTTGCCAGGCAAGCACTTATGCCACTGAGCTATATCTCCAGCCCCAAGTGACTTTCTGTGAAGTAAGAGAAATGGGATCTCATAGCTGGGTATGGTGGTACACACCTGTAATCCCAGCACTCAGGAGACTGAGGCAGGAAGATCATCACAAATTCGAGGCCAGCCTGGGCTACATAGTAAGCTTAAGTCCAGCCCAGACTATATGGCAAGACCTTGCCTCAAAAAACAAAACAAAACAAAACAAAACAAAACAAAACAAAACAAAAAAAAGAGAGAGAGAGAGAAATGAGATCTTATGAGATCCTAACAAAGAAGTTACACATCCATCAGGAAATCTAAAATAAAAGCTCAGCTGGGTATGGTGGCATTTGCCTAGTAATTAGTTTTAATTTAATTAATGTGTTTTGATTTGTGGTTGTTGAGGTAGTAGGGATTGAACCCAGGGCCTTCCCACTGAGCTACATCCCCGACCCTTTAAAAAAAAATTTTTTTAGGGGGTGGGATAGGGTCTTGCTAAATTGCCCAGCTGGGCTCTAATTTGCAATCCACTTGCCTCACCCTCTCAGAATGTCTAGATTACAGGCACAAGGAATTACTAAAGGCTGGTAGAAAAGTTCATCTTTGTTTTTTAGAAATCCAGAAGGAAACTGGGTATGATGGTGCAGGACTGTAATTCTAGCGCTCAGGAGGCTGAGGCTGGAGGATCTCAAGTTTGAGATCAACTTGGGCTATACAACAAATTCAAACTCAGCATGGACTACATAGTAAAACACTGTTTTTAAATAAAAAAAAAAAAAATTTAAAGTAGGAGGGATTAGTGGTATAATTCTGTGTGAAGGTCCTGAATTCCACCAGCAGTACCATTAAAAACAAAGATAAGGGGCTGGGGATTTAGCTCAGCGGCAAAAGCGCCTGCCTGGCAAGCGCAAGGTCGTGAGTTCGGTTCCCGGTACCAGAGGAAAAAAAAAAAAAAAAAATTAAAAAAATAAAAAATAAAAACAAAAATAAAGTTTAAATATGTGAAGTAGTTCCTAAAACTAATGACTAGCAATTGCACTGAGAACAGGAAATAAATTTGAATTCTGCCCATAATACAGGCAGAAAAATCATTGTTGTGGATGATAGCAGCTACAGCTAGCTCTTTTTTTTTTTTTTTTAATGGTGAGACAAGGTCTTGCTAAATCACTAAATTGCTCAGGCTGGACTCTTGATTTGTGATCTTCTTACCTCAGCTTCCCATAGTGCTAGAATTACAGGCATGTGCTACTGCACCTGGTAGATAGCAGTCTTGAGGTTGTCATTTCTGGTCTTCAGCTAGTCATGTGACTTTGAGCAAGTCACTTCCTTTTTCTGGCCTATCTCCTCATTAGTGAAATAAGCTCCTTGGTTGCATTGAGAATGGCAAATATTTGTCATGTCATGGCTGCCTGCAGTGCTTTGTTGAAGATTCTGAAACTGAATCTGAGAACAGCAGGAAATAGTGCAATGATCGATTAATAATGTCTGTCTCTGGTGCTGGAGGAGAAAGGATAGCTCATGTGCCATCCTTGAAGTATGTGATATCATCTCAATTCCAGCTCTAAAATTTTATAGCTCCATAATTGTCAACAATGAGCTCACTCCCCAAGGCTCTCCTTTGAAACATAGATAAATCTCCTACTGTCTTAGCTGGGCAGGATGCTGCTCACTACAACATAGCAGGAGAACATCTGACTCTCCATTGTTATTTCAGGACTTTCCTCAGAAGCCCCAACCATGGGGGAAGGACAAGCCACAGGCAACAAGGAGACAGATGGGGAGCTGACAGCAGCCCCCACACCTGAGCAGCCAGAGCGAGGTGTTCACTTCGTCACAACAGCCCCCACCCTGAAGCTGCTCAACCATCACCCACTGCTGGAGGAATTCCTTCAAGAGGGGCTGGAGACAGGCGAGGAGGAGCTGAGACCAGCATTGCCCTTTCAACCTGATCCACCTACACCCTTCACCCCAAGCCCCCTCCCTCGCCTGGCCAACCAGGACAGCCGCCCTGTCTTTACCAGCCCCACTCCTGCCATGGCGGCAGCACCTACACAGCCCCAGTCCAGGGAGGGACGTTGGAGCCTAGAGTCAGAGCTCCCTTTGCTTCGTATCACAGCCCCCCTACCTCCAGGGCCCAGCCTTGCAGCGCCCACCTTATACCCAGGGGAGAGACCTAGTACTACACCCCCCAGCAGAGCCTGGACTCCAACCCAAGAGGGTCCTGGAGATATGGGCAGGCCATGGGCTCCAGAGGCCATGTCCCAGACCACAGGGCTCGGGATTGAGGGCACCATCACCACCTCCACAGCTTCTGGAGATGACGAAGAGACCACAACCACCACCACCATCATTACCACTACCGTCACCACAGTTCAGCCACCAGGTCAGCTACCTGCTGGCTTGTGGATATGGAAATGGGAACAATGGGAGCTGTGGGGTCCCTACATGCCTCTGTCTGTGACACTGTGCCAACATGCCCTCATTTTGGCACCAAGAAAAGCCTTCAGGAGGCATGCGGTTTGGAACTAGGTAGACCTGGTTTCAAATCCTGATTCTCCCAAATATAACACAACCCTAGGAATTTTATTTCACCTCTCTGAGCCTCAACTGTAAAGTGGTAAAAAGAAAGCCCATTTTTCTGAGCCATTCTAAGAACTGAGATAAGATTGTGCATAAGATTGTGCATAATAGGTGCTCAGAAGCCGGGCGTGGTGGCGCTGTCCTGTAATCCCAGCCCTTGGGAGGCTGAGGCAGGAGGATTGTTGCAAGTTCAAGACCAGCCTGGGCTACAAAGTGAGCTCAAGGCCAACCTGAACTGCATATCGAGACCCTGTCTCAAAAAGACAAAAAAAAAATAAAAGAAAAAAAAAGAAAACAAAGAAATAGGTGCTCAGTAAAAGGTGCCCCTTCTTTCAACAGGGGAATAAACATCCTGAGAGGTGGGCTTTACCATGCACATGCACATGCACACATATGCACATAGTTCAACCTTAGCTGGTCTCACTTCACCAGAGCTGGGCTTAGCCTTGTGTTTCCTCCTGCCTCCCAGGCCCTTGTAGTTGGAATTTCTCTGGCCCAGAGGGCTCTCTGGACTCCCCCCAAGCCTACAGCTCACCCTCTGATGTCGGTCTGGACTGTTTCTACTACATCTCTGTCTACCCTGGCTACGGCGTGGAGATCAAGGTGAGTGACTTGGATCGGGCAAGGGAAAGGCTGGGACTGGTGTGTTATCTTTTCCCAGAAAGGCACCTGCTATAGAAGAGAAGATGTCTAAGGGCATCCGCTGAGTGAGCGGCACCTAGGGCAGGAGCTGGGAGATAGGCCTGAAACATGCTTGGATTCTGTCCTGTGTGCTGGGGAGTGGTGAGGGCTACTGCTCCCACCTGGCAGTGCCCCGAGAGGGCTGCAGGAGCAAAAGCTGTGCCCACTGTCTGCCCGAATGGGATTGATCAGGGACTCAGGAGAGCCTGAGGAGGGGGCTCTCACTTTGGCTGGGCAAGAGGCTGGGTAAATCACCTCAGTCCCCAGTGTGAACTCTGCATTTGACTCTATGTGGCTGAGTGGAAAAAACACAGGGCTACCTGGTCAGCCTGAGAGAGCCACGGAGCCTCATTCCTCCATCACTCACTCATCCATCCCTTCAGCAAGTCCTCCCTGAGCATCTCTTCTGGGCCAAGCTCTGTGCTGGCCACACTGTCAGAGAGATGGCTAGCTTGTAGGTGAGCCAGATCTGCCCCCAGCTTCCTGGACGATCTTCTCCCTCCCTCAGGAGGAAGGCTCTCTCTTGGAAGCCCCAAGACCTGAGCCTAAGGTTCTCACAGGTGTCTCACAAGCTTTTTAGCTTTCACTAACCCAAATCTTTCTTTTGCTCCCTACCATCCCTCTTCACCCACATTGGAGTCACTTTTCCTGGATGAAATCACTCCTGCCCTCCACCCCATACTTTCCCAGGAGCTCTGAGTCAGGGCCATTCCTCTGGAGCATCTCTTGACATTTCTTCCCTTGTTGTCTACTCCCCCTGTGTTAGTCAGCTTTTTGTACCTGTGACCAAATACCTTAGGAAAACAAAGGAGGAAAGACATATTTTGACTTATGATAGAGGTTTCAGTTCATGGTTAACTGGCTCCATTAGTTTTAGGCCTGTGGTAAGGCAGAAACATAATGGCAGAGGGCATGGTAAAGGAAAGCTGCTTGTCTCATGTCAGCCAGGAAGCAGAGAGAGAGGGAAAGAGCCAGAGAGAAAATATAGTTCCCGAGGTCACACTCCCATGATCCACCCCCTTCGACTAGGCCCCACCTCATGCTTCCGTCACCTCCCAACAATATCATCAAATTATAAATCCATCAGTAATGAATGCACTGATGAAGGTAGAGTCCTTATGATCCAATCACTTCTCTAGACCTCATCTCTGAACATTGCTATATCAGGGATCAAACCCTCAATAGACGAGTCTTTGGGAGACACTTGCATTTAAACCATAACATCCCCTTTGCACTGAACAGCTTCCAGCCAACTGAATGGGCCAAACCTTCTTACCCCTCAAGTCTCAATTACACATGCTGGTCCCTCTGCCTGGAAGAATCATCTTAACACTGCCTCCTTTAGGACTCAACCTCAGCATCACTCTCTCTGGTCACTCTCTCCTGATCCCTAAAGCCTGGCCATCGCTCTCCATCTTGGCCCTCATCACTGCCTTCTATGGACCCATCTTTAGCTGTCCACCTCCCCAGTCAGATCGTGAGCTCCTTGAGGGGAGCCTTGCAGTACAGGGGCCAAGATGGGGATGGGGAAAGGAAGGCAGAAGAGGACATTTCACCTGGGGCCTGGAGACTGATAAAGGTAGAGAAGGGAGCACTCTGCCCAGCTGAAAGGCTTCGGACTGGGACTGAGGAGCTGCAGGGAGGAGCAGAGCAGAAATCTGAGAAGCAGGGCAGCACTGCCCACCCACCACCTCCCGCCCCACTTCCCACCCATCACCATTCCCTGTAGGCCCTAGGTCAGGGTCTGAAGCCAGCAGCATGACCTGGAGCAGTGCCTCCAGCCATACACCCCTCATAGGAGTAGGCCCAGGTGTGAGCCAGGCCCTGTGAGGGGGTCTCTGCCACCGCTGCTGGGCTCCTCCCTTCTTTTTGCTACTGTTTGCTGTTACTCTGCAAGACCTGGGCCCCTCACTCTGGGCTGACTGGAAGGGCAATTAGAAACAGCCACCCCTCCTCAAGCCATTAGCACTCAGCGCCGCTTAATTAAGGTAATTAATGTAAAATCATCACCTAATGAGAGGTGGCACCGGCTGTGGCTCACAGGGTGGAAGGCGCCAGCTGCAGGTGTAGGGAAAGGGGTAGGAGGGGGCAGGTGTCGGCTGGGTGCCCCCCCGTAGGCCTGGGCTGGCTCACCTGCCCACCAAGCATATCACTCACAGTGAAGCCCACTGGGCCTTGCTGGGGCCAGCCCCGATACCGCCCACCAGGGCGGGTACCAGATAATGGGGCAAGATGCCGTGTTGGCTCTGCTTGCACTTGCCCTGGCCCAGCCCATGCCCCACCCTGGATGCCCAATCCTTCACACAGCCCTAGGTCTGCTGTCTGGTGCTGCTACATTTGTTTTTCCATCAGAATGCAAAAAGCCATTACCGGGCAACCTTGAGGTAAAGACTTGTCACAGGCCTGGATTGCAGTCAGGAAACCAGGCACAGGCTGGCCCCACCTTCTCCCTTGCCACTCTGGGGGGCAGAGTCCTTGGGGACTCTAGTCTCCAATGGCCTGAGATAGAGCCTCAAGCCGTGGGAGACATGGGGTTGCCAAAGCTGGGTCAGCACCTGACTTAGAGGAGGAGCAAGAGATAGAACAGGCAAGACTAAGCAGGATTTAAGATTCTTCCAGGGGCCGTTCTGGCAACCTCCACCGATCTCAGTCCTTCTGGCCACACTACACCAGCCACCTGGGACCTGAAGCAGAACTGACACTGCAGACCTATTAGATAGTGGAAAAAACTAAGGCCCAGGCAGGGAAAGAGAATTGCCTAACAACACTCAGCTCTGTTTTGTTTTGTTTTGGTTTGGTTTGGTTTGGTTGAGACAGGGTCTCTGTGTAGTTCAGGATGGTTTTGAACTCACTATGTAGCCCAGGCTGGCCTTGAGCTCGTAGCGATCCTTCAGCCTCAACCTCCCAAGTCCTGGGATTACGGGTGTGTATGCCACCACGCCTGGCTTCACTCAGCTCATTATTAAATAAGGGGTTTTGACGCATGGATTTGTTTCACAAACATAGACTAAGCATTTCCATGCCAGGCTCTGTACTGGGCGTTGGGGGCATAGATCTTCATGAGCACCGGATGCTCAGTACTGGTGGGGATAGGGACCACAGGGACTGTGGGAACCTGGGAGCAGGGCACCCCACCAGCCTGACAGCCAGGGACTTCTGGAGGTGAGAACATGGGCTCTGAGGCCTATAGGCCGAGAAACCAGCTGCCAAGCCTGAGCTAAGTAGAGTGGCTGGCTTGGCCCTTGGAGGCTGCCTGGCTGTTTTAGAAAAGTGAATTTTTTGTATAGGGGTAGAGGACGGGACTAAAGAATTTGGTTGACACTCTTGCCAGAGGCTTGGCTTTGGAGCAGTGTCCTCCTGCCCAGGCTGGCGGCTGAGCCATACTGAGGGCAGGATAGGTGAGGTGAAAGGCCTAGAGTGCTGCCTGAAACTCCTCAGGCTTGGGGAGAAGGGCCAGCCTGGCTTCTCTCTACCATGGGTAAACTTCAGCTCTCCTCCCTGAGTTCACCATAATAGAAATACTGGAGCAGGTAGGGGATAGAGTCAGAGAAAAGAAGACTACCCACACCCTTGAGCAGGAGCAGCCAAATGCTAGGCTGAACCTCTGTCACGTGACCGCAGCCACTGCCTAAAGATTGAGGTCCTGGGGGAACCTTTTATTCAGGAACAGCCTCAGAACTATCAGAACCCCTAAAAGCTCAGCTCTGCCTACCTTGGACCACCGCCCTCCAGAACCTGCTCCCTCCCTTGCCTCCTACCTCCCTTCAAGGTGCTGCAGCTATTGTTACCCTCTCAGGCTGAGGGTCCAAGCCAGCAGCAGGGGGGACGCCAGGTCAGGCCCTCCATGGTTCAAGTAAGCAGGATTGCTTCAGCGGGGAGTCAGGCACTGGGCTAGAGTCTTTGTCAAAAGGTCCAGAGAAGGCCCTTCAAGATAGTTGAATATGAGCCCCATGGCCCACATGGGTCCCATCCCCTCTCCAGGCAGCCAATCTCCCTGTGAGAGCTCTAGGCCTTTCTGGGCCTGGTGCCTGCCTCTCACTGCACTTGGCATTCCAAGAGCCTTCCCACTGCCAGCCTCCATCTTGGCTTGGCTGCTCTCTGTACCATCTGGAGCCTGGGCACAGCTGCCCACAGTCCCTGCCCTCATGCCCAGGTGGTCCCTTTGGCACACAGCTCTCTTAGGCAAGGCCAGCTGTCAGTTTGATATCCAGAACACCCTGCTTCTCTAAACCAGGTCAGGAACAGACTTCACGGCCTGATGTGAGGGGGAGTAGGGGGTTCTTGGGGATTGGGTTGGATTACTGCACAACTTCCTATTAGAGCTTGAGGAAAGCCCATCTGAAGTGATGATAGGTGCTAGAAGGTCTGGGCCCATGGACTTAGGCCCCTCTTTCATCCCTAAAACAGACCTTACATGCAAGGTATTATGAACAAGTGCATGTTCATAAGGGTACAGGGGCTGCCATGTAAGACTCGGTTCCGGTCCTGGGTCTGCAGCAGCCTCTCAGGGACTGAGATAAGCCCTGGCCTTCTCTGGGCCTCAGCTTCCTCCCTATGAAAGAAGATTAAACCGAATACTGTTTGTGGCCCCTCCCATCCGGTCTCTCAGAGTGTGGTTCATTCTCTTGGCTCAAGGAGCTCTTCGTAAGCTCCACTGCACCTCAGGTCCTTGGCCCTGCTTCCTGGCAGCTACCAAGCCTGGGCCTCTGCCACAGTATACACATGGGGGTGGTGATGGAGGCGAGCAGAGCTGTGGCCAGCATCTGGGGGTGGCACTCAGGTGCTGGGTGGGTATGATACATGGAGATGTCCTGAGTTCCTCTGTGCAGGGTTGTACTAATTCAAATTCGTGTACCACCCTGCCTGCTGGTCATCATCATCAGGACCTGTGCTGGAGGCCTGACTGGCAGCTTCCATGGGACTGACAGGTGAGGCAAGGCTGATGACCTGGGGATTGACAGGAGACAACCAGAGTCCTCCCCTCTTCCCATCCAGAAGGGGCCAGTCCCCTCTAAGCAGCAGTGTCCTCTTCTTGAACTGCCACCCTGATGCTCTGGGAACAAGGCAGTGTTGGACAGCAGAGGGTCCTATGCGAATTGTCCCCAGCTCTCTCTGCTTCTGCCTTTCCCCTGTCTGGCCCCCAGAGCCCCTCCTGTCACTGGACGGGCTAGGGGAAGACAGCCCTCATGAACAGAGCTGACATTTCAATCTGTCTCCCAGGTTCTTCAGATGCCTGCAAATTGCATCAAGTCTTCATCTCCCTCCCTGTCCAACACCCAGCCCTGTCTGGCCCCTGTCAGCCTGGCCCTCAAACAAATGACAAATTACATCCCAGCCACCACAGCAGGCCCACAAGTGGGTGCTTGAAACCCAGGGGACCAGGGTTACACAGGCAGCCTCCAGCTAAGCACAGGGAGCTACTCCATTCCTCACTTTCATCCCAACCCCCACCTCCATGGTGGGCTGGGAACCAGGCCAACTTAAGGGTCCCATGCCGCCCCCAGACCAGAAGGGGCTGGAGGCCTCAACTCCCAGTTTACAAGCTGCTAGGGGAGAGGATAGCTGGGGAACCCAAATCTCAACATCCTGAAAAAGCCAAGTCAAGCCAGGCCAATATCTGCCTACCTGCTAAACATGGAGGCCTGGAGACTGGGAATAAAGATATCTAGAAATCTATTTCTGCAGGTAATGTCCCCTCGAAACTGGTTCTTAATAGAGCAGCAAAATTGGTTCTTAATAGCTATATGACATTCTGCAAGTTCCTCAGCCTCTCAGCGCTTCTGTTTATTTATGAGGATTTTACCACCTACCTCATAGAAAAGACTGACATATTTTAGGTGCTCTGTAAACTGTTATTGCTGCCGCTGCCCTCTGATTACAACAAAGCCATAAGATCAGGAGTAGGAAGCTAGAGGTCAAACTGGAAGTATAAGAAACTAGGAAGAAAATACTAACTTAATTTCTACTTCTCTGCCTTTGCTCTAGAGGTAATTTCCCTGCAGTGAATGTCCTCCCTTCCTCCTCCGCCCAGCCCTCCCCTCTTCAAGGCCTCTGAGACCCACCTGGTCCCTGTATCCCCTGAGCTTCCAAGTCCTCCGCTCTCCCCTCGAGGATTCCTGCTGCAGGTATTCAATGCCAGTTAAGGCAGAATTATATGCTGCCTGGCATCTCTCGATAATTACAGATTCCACGTGTGTGAGTCTTGTTTTCCCAATTCTAGAATCACAGAATCTCCACGTTTGAAGGGACCTCATCCAGCCTCCGCCTGCTGCAGGGATTCCCTGAGGAATGTCCCCAGCAGATGGTCAGGAAACCTCCACCCAAATGTGCCTGGGCCGGGAGCTCCTCCCCAAGGGGAGGTGCTTCTGCCCCTAGCACCCTGCCTTAAAACTTCTCTTCAGCCACCAGAACCTACCAGGTTTTCCCTCCCAAACAGGGGTGGGACCTCTCCCCACCAAGCTGCCCCATCTGGAGTCTATTCCCAAGAGGGGCCCTAAGTCTGGAGATACCACTCTCTGTTCTGGCTGGTCTCAGCATCCTGTTCTTAGCTTGCAGAGACCTGGTGAGGAACATGTCTCTAGAAGCCCATATTGCCGGGTGTGGTGGTACACACCTGTAATCCCAGCACTCAGGAAGCTGAGATAGGAGGATCACTGTGAGTTTGAGGCCAGCCTGAGTTACACACTGAGTTCAAGGTCAGCCCAAGTTTCATGACAAGACCTTGTCTCAAAACAAAAACAAAAGCAAAAACAGACAGAAGCCCACATATCACTCTCTTCGGACATTTTCTCTGAAACTGGCCAGTAAAGAGGGTGCTGTGATTCAAAATGCCACTCAGGTTTTAATAAGAGAATGGATGGGGGAGCACACAGGGGAAGGACTGACCGGCCTGGCCTGGGCTGCAGAGGATGGTGGTCCTGAGATCTGAGAGGACGTGCAGGTTCACCAGAAGGGGGACAGGGAAGGCTTCCCTGTACAAGTGTTCAGAAGGGAGGGAAGAAGGCTGGCAAAGCCACCACAGCCAACTGTGAGCTGGGAAGCTGGGACCTTGTCCCCTGGACAACCTGAAGCCACCAGCAGGGAAGAAAGAGATGAGAGAGAGAGACATGATCTGATCCGAGGCAACCAGGCCAGGAGACAAGTTGAAGCGGGGAGGTGTGGGTCGTTGCAGGTGAGGAACAGTGGACAAGAGGTGATCAGAGCCAAGAAAGCAACAAAGGGGTAAGGAGGAAGAACCACTTGCAACAAATGAAAGATTGGGATTTCATGACTCACTGGGTGCCTAGGTTGTTAACACCTGAAGCCTCTGCCTCAAAGCAGTACGGTAGGGACCCTAGACCAGGGAGACCAGTGCTTTTGGACAGCCTGGATATCTTATTAAAATCCTGACTATGATTTAGTAGATGTGAGGTGTGCATTTCTCCTTCTTCTTTTTCCTTCTGTAGTACTGAAGTTCCATCTCGGGGCCTCATGCAGGTTAAGCAAGTGCTCTGCCACTGAGCTCAGCCCCAGCCCTGAGATTCTGTATTTCTTACACTGATGCTGCTGGTCCAGGAACCAGATTTAGAGTAGCAAAGATCTACACAAGGCCTTTTTATAAAATGAAGAAAAGAAGCTCAAATAATTCAATGACTTGTTCAGGAACATAGAACTAGAAGGAGCTCTCAGATCCCTAGGTTCTCATGCTAATGCTCCAACCAAGCTACAGTGTCCGTTCCTCTCTGGGCAGTGTCTGTCATTGTCCAGTCCTTTTTTGACAGAATGGAGGCATGCTGCCCAAAGGAATGCTTCAGGCATTGAGGGCCTAAAAAAGAGGGAGGAAAGAAAGAAAAAATTGCATCAAGAAACCCAGAGAAGAGAGGAAATAGAACCAATGGCTAACTCGTGGAGGGAGTGGTATAAAGCCCATCTGAGCTGCCAGTAAGGCCAGGCAGGCATGACCTGGAGGCCCAGGCAAGGAGTCTGGCCTAGTGCTACAGGCTTCATGGACTCAACAGAGAAACACTAGGGGATCTAAACAAGGAAGCACCATGATGAGATACAGGTCTGAGACTATTAACTGGCTGCAGTTCAAAAAATATTGATGGGGAGGGAGGAGTGGGTTAAACCCTCTAGGCAAGGAAGCTGACCAGGAGGCTGCTGCAGTGATCTAGGTGATTTGAGGTCTCCTTGAAAGACTGAATGACTGATTGGATGTGAGCTATGAGGGAAGAAGCAAGAGGCCAGCGTCTGACTTGGGTATCCAGGTTGTCAGGAGATCAGTCCCTGAGATGAAAGCCAGGGGAGCTGCTGGCTGGGGGAAGAGAGTGGCTAGCATGAGGCAAACCAGGTGTGAGGAGACTGTGAAGCGTCCAACAGGGATGTCCAGGGGAAAATAGGTACACAGGTCTGGTGTGTAGGACCTCACACTGCTGGCCAGGCTCTCAGACACTATCTAGCCTAACGCATCTAACCCATCCTTACCTTACAGATGAGAAAACTGAACTGCAGGGGGGGCAGGAACGAGGGGACAACAGGAAGCAGCTAGTATATTTGAAATGCTTGGGAGATAAAGCAATGTGCTTACAAATCACAGTTCTCTGAGTGACCTTGAGTGGTTTACTTAATACTTCTGAGCTTCAGGTTCCATCTTGCATTAATGAGAAGGTAGGATGAGCTCCTCCTGCAGGACATGCCTAACTTAGGCTCCAGGACTCTGATACCCAAGAAGCACTGAGGATTGGGCATGTGGGACCTATAGGAGCCAGAGGGTATCAGGGCTCAGACAGCAAGAAATCTGAGTGCACTGCTTTGTTTTAACCCACATGCAGGTCCAGAACATCAGCCTTCGGGAGGGAGAGACAGTAGCTGTGGAGGGCCTTGGGGGACCTGACCCATTGCCCCTTGCCAACCAGTCTTTCCTTCTCCGGGGCCAAGTCATCCGCAGCCCCACGCACCAAGCAGCCGTGAGGTTCCAGAGCCTCCCGCCACCTGCTGGGCCTGGCTCCTTCCATTTCCAGTACCAAGGTAAGGTCTCTGGGCAGCTGAGCGAGGAACCAGCCCTGACTGGCTGCCCTCCTGGGGGTCTCTGGTGTCATAACCACTGGACTCAGGCAGGGGACAGGCAGGGACAGGTAGTGCAGCAGAGGTGCCTGGTGAGTAGCTATGCATGTGGAGCAGAGTATCACTCACTGGACACCTCCAGGGCCATCCCATCTCCGCCTTCTACCTGCAGAGCAGATCTTCACTCTGGATTAGGTTCCCACACCCCTAGGTATGCTCACCGTCCTACATTCATTCCGTAAACTTTTCTGAACAACTGATATTTGCCACACTTATGTGGGACCTAGCCAATTTCCCAATGTACTCATCAACATCTTTGCCATCAAGGTGTTCAGAATCTCAGGAGGAGACACTTAAACAGGAAATAACAATAGAGGCCTCTCTCCAGAGGCAAGGGGGTCAAGGCCAAAGGGGCTTGACAGTGACTGTCTGGAGATGTTCAGCTGCCAGCCTCCCTTCTTCACCTACCAAGCACCTGGTCCATGCTCTAGTCAGCTCAGAACACCTGTGGAAAGAGGGGTGTGGCATGATGAAGTGGGAAAATCACAGACTTAGGAGATGGGCAAATTTGTGTTTGAATCTCCTCACAAGCTGTTGACCTTCAATAGGTCATCTGACCTCCCTGATTCTCCTTTTCCTGCTTGAAGATAAGACCAAAGCATCTACTACAAAATTACAGTTAGGATTAAATAAAACGGTGTGTGTCAAGGGCTTAACGAATGCTGCATTAAAGAAACTAGTCTTGGCTGGGGGTAGGGCACATGCCTGTGATCGCAGCACTCAGGAGGCTGAGGCAAGAGGATTGCTAGGAGTTCAAGGCCAGCTTGAGCTACATAGCAAGACCCTGTCTGAAAAAAAAAAAAAAAAAAAGAAAGAAACTAGTGTTAATATGGCTTTCAGAATGGGGTTTGGGAATTTCCTACTGCCCCATTGGTGTCCTTCCTGTCCATCCCCTTCCCTGGGCACGTTGTCAGCTTGATCTTTTGCACACTTTAATCAGTTTAGAACTGAGAGTACTAACAGGGAAATAATTGATGTGAGCAATCACAGGATTGTCTTGCATTGTCGGGGACCACTTCTGCAGCCCTGCAGGAGGGAAACAACCCGAAAGCAGGCAAGCACTCAAGCTGGTATGCTCTGAACCCCACCTAAGGAGCACTCCTTGACCAGTCTGGCTTCTCCACCCAAACTGGGGAAGAAGTCCCAGCATGGCAGCAGGGAGCCTGGTGGTGGACAGGCATTGTACAGGGGCTCAGCAGAGGCAAGGGGCCAACTGAGACAGTGAGCACCTAGGCATCCCAGCCGGCCTTCCTAATGGCTCATCAATCCCCTCTGGCAGCCGGCATAATTTCACGCCACAGTAACCTTTTCTCTTGCTGCAAATTCCTTTACACAAAACTCTGGACCTCTTCTCTGTTGGGCCAGACAAAGGTGGCTGAATGGCAGCTAGCTGAAGCCCTGCAAGAGGGAGCAAGACCCCATGGAAGGGCTGGGAGAGCTGGCCCATCCTGCTCCTTCTGGGCTCCCAGAAGCCCTCCCTCCTCCTCGGCCCAGTTTTTGTCAATGATCAGCTCTTTCCTTAATGAGTGTAATTCCCCTAATTATAGGCTGTAATTAGCCCTGATCCCAGAGATGGGAACGGGAGAAGCATGTGCTCACACGAGCGTCTCATGGGCAGAAGAAAGAGGGTGCCAGAAGAGGGGGTGAGGGGCCCAGTAACCATGCTCCATGTGGAAGCTGTCCAAGCTGATCTTGGAGATCACTAGGATGGACCCCAACAAGGGCCTCAGGGCAGGACCAAATTCCAGCTCCCCTCCTCCAGCCTCCACAGGGTAGGGAGGCAGAGGGTCCTGAAAAGGCACTCCCCTCCTCCATCCTGAGCATTCCTGGCACTGGACTTGGCTCCAAAAACAAATGCCAGTAAGAAAATAACTCGACAGATTGCAGTGGTTCAGGCTCCCCGGGAACGGTTGTCATGGCAATAGGAGGAAGCTCATCCCAGGAAGAGGCATTTTACCCATTATGGAGTCTGGGGGACTTTATCCTCTGCCCCCCAACTCCTGCTCCTGCCTCATCCTGGCCCAGCCTCTGAAATGGGGACCTCCCTTTCCAAGTTGTGATTGAACTCAAGAAGAAGATGTAAATCAGGTGCTGAGACTGACATTTGGCTCATGGTTTATACATCTCTATCATTTAGCCCCTCAGCTGCCTCTACTCTGGGCAGAGCACCCCCACCCCATCCCCATGGAATCCTTCCAGGTCACTGTGAGTGCCCCAAACCATCTCCCAAGGCAGTCTTGTCTACTACTGTCAGCCTTCTTTAATCTCTTATTCCAGATTTCCTCTTTAACTGGAGAAGCAGGAGTTGGGGGGATAGAAAGTCAGTGCTTGCTAGAGCTGGGAGCTCAAGTCCCACCCTACCATTTACCTGCAGTGTGATGAAGGGACAGAGGCTCTCTGAACCTCAGTTTTCCTTATCTGAAAGTGGGTTAATAATCCCTATCTCGTCTTCCTTCCTCCTAAGCATATTGTATTAGCAAGAGTGTGGAAGCACTTTAGGAGCTGGAAAGTGCTACAGATGTAATGCTGTTATTACTCAACATTACCAACAGTCACATCAGGCCCGGTGTTGGGCATTTGTGCCAGGCCCTGCAAGTATGTCTTCTAACATCACCTTCACAGTACAGGATGCAATACTGTAAGTGGATGTAAACTGAGGCCCAGAGAAGGAAGGTAACTTCTCCAAGGAGGCACAGCAAGCAAGGGTACCCATCTTCATATCCAGGTAGTCTGACTCCAAAGCCTGTGTCCTAGGCATTGTCCTGTACTGCCTGCCAATTTAAACTGGTCTCTTATTTGCCGTTCTCTCAAGAGACAGAAAAGTAGGAGGAAGCATCCCGCTTTCACAGACATACTAAGTAAGAACAGGGACAGCATGCCTATAATCCCAGTATTTTAAGAGGCTGAGACATGAGGATCACAGGTTCAAGCTCAGCCTGGGCGACTTAGGGGCTTAGTGAGACCCTGTCTCAAAATTTTAAAAGGACTGGGGATGTAGCTCAGTGTGAAGGCCCTGGGCTTCATCCCCAGTGCCACAAAACAAAAAAGATCAGGACAGGGCTAAGTCAGAAAACTGGGCCACAAAACTCAAGCTTCGGGATCCTGGGCCGACTCATTTTCTATTCACACCAAGGCACAGAGGGATAGCTCAGGCCTCCTCTCCGCTTCTCTCCTTGACCCTTTCCTTCTTTCCCACCGTTCAGGCCAGTTTTTAGCTGCACTCTTCCTTAGCTTGGACCCAGTTGGGATTTGCCAGGTTGTTTTGTAGGATTTGCCGTCACCATGTGGTCGTGCTTGGTATAACAACCGCACAAGCCTCCGTGTTTCCCAGGGCAACTGGTCCCACCCCCAACTTCCGTGAAGGCGGGCTCTGCCTCCCCACTCTCGCCCCCGTCCTGTCTTTAGAAGAAATCCTGCGCTGGTGCCATCAAGCTTTTTAACGTTTCTCGGTGAATACTGGTGAGACGTTTGCTGTCTGACTTGAGTCTTTCCTGCTGCAATTCATATTTGTCTTCTAGAGGAAAATAATATCACACTTTACATCAGTACAGGCTTTTCACTATTTCAAATGCTTTCACATCTACTAGTCATTCTATAAATACATCTTGAGATAGTTTCAGCTGTGTGCTAGGGAAACCAAGCTGAGTAAAATACTACTGCATTTAGTTTCAGACTAACCCTGTATGTAGGCTAGCATTTTTAAACTCGCTTAACAAATGAAGAAATAGACACAAAAAGGTTAAATAACCTGCCTAAAGTGTCAAAGTTTGGGCCAGATCCTAAGCCTTTCAACTTTTTGCTCTGAGCTTGTTCCACTAACCAGGTCAACCTGCTGGAAGTATGGTTGGCGCCTTCTAGGGGAGAGATTTGGGGATATTTTCTGGAACTCCTAATGCTTCTTTCTTCTGGTCCCAAGTGATGTCTCCAGGCTGGCTGAGGCAGATTGGCACAGACCTTCACACATACACCCATAATGGCTCAGCCGTCTCTCTCTCTCTCTCTCTCTCTCTCTCTCTCTCTCTCTCTCTCTCTCACACACACACACACACACACACACACACACCACGTACTTTCTCTTTACAGCCTATCTCCTGAGCTGCCATTTTCCCCGAAGACCAGCTTACGGAGATGTGACTGTCTCCAGCCTCCACCCAGGAGGCAGTGCCCACTTCCACTGTACCACTGGCTACCAGCTGAAGGGTGCCAGGTTCCTCACCTGTCTCAACGCCACTCAGCCCTTCTGGGATTCCCAAGAACCTGTCTGCATTGGTGAGTGATGCCAGGGGAGAGGGCTCAGTGCTGAGCAGAGGAGCTAGGTGGGGGCTCATCCCTGCTCTCCATTGCTATCTGGCACTTTTATTTGGTCTCCAGAAGGAATCAGAATATGGCCACAGATCTAAGTGGCATCCATCCAACCTGAGCTCATTGACCACCTACTACATGAAGGTGCCACAGTATACAGAGCTGAGTTAAGCAAGAATCTGCCCTGAAAGAGCCCACAGTTCCAGGAAACGGGAGGCACTTAAGTCACCAGTTTCCACAGCAGGAAGTAAAAGATACCAATGAAGAGACGTAACGTGACTTTGCGGCAGGGGAGGAATCATTCTTAGCTGGGTAGTAAGAAGGCTTCCAAGGAGAAGTGGCACTGAAGTTTGACATTTTGATGAAGAACTGTGACTCAGGGGCAGGAAGGAGAGTGTGCTTAGTGCACAGGGGGAGGGTTTGACTGGCAGGCCAAGATTCTGAGTGGGAAGCTGAAGTTTTTGAGGGGAAGAGGGAAGAGCTCAGAACTACCCTTCAGGAGAGCCAGTGGAGTGGCAGTCAAGCTGAGAGGCCAGCCAGCCCAGAGGGTTTGAATTTAGACAATGACTTTGAGCATGGAGAAAAGGGGAAAGGTTCCAGAGACACTGATGAGGGGGGTCCCCAGGTTCCAGTTCTGGATGATGAGATCTGAGATTACCAGCAGAAGGGGGCTTGCTGGGAACAGGAAGATAGTGTTTGGTTTGTGGTATGACAGGCAATTTGGGTGTGGTGGGAATCCAGGCCAGGGAGAGTGGTCCAAACCCGAGGGACGAGGCAAGGAAGGCTTCCAGAAATGTTAGCTGGGGAAGCTGGGTGGATTCTTGGAACAGCGCACATGAGGGTGTGTAGGCACAAAGAAGCATGACACAGTGAGGACATAGCAAGGTGTTCTGAAGGTGGTATACAGGGCAAGGAGACTGAAACTGAGCCAAGAGCTGGATTTATGAAGGGCTTAAATGCCATTTTAAGCTTGGTCTCTATCCCGAGGGCAATAGGGGGCCACTGAATGGATTTTCTTTTCAGCATCGTGCAACATCGTGCAACATCTTTGAATGTATTTACACAGACAGACCTAGATGGTACAGTAACTGCACACCTAGGCTCTCTATATGAGATATAGGTAGACAGATGATAGATAGATAGATAGATAGATAGATGATAGATAGATAGATAGATAGATAGATAGATAGATAGATAGATAGATAATGGCCCGGTGCTCTTAGGCTACAAGCCTGTACGGCACATTATTGCACTAACATGCTCAAATAAAAAATAAAAAGGGCTAGTTGTGGTCCACTGAGTGGATTTTAAGCCAAGGTATGATCAACTTTGAAGGGCAGGTCCATGCTGAGACCAAGCAAAAAAGTGGTTCTGCCCTCTGCAGAGAAGCGAAGACTTACCCTAGGCCCCAACAGCATTAATAGGTTAGCATATGCTGCTGTCTGGAGTATTTGGAGGCAATGGCGCTATGAGTTGCTGTAGTAGCCTGGTCCTGAAAGTGGGAGAGGTCAGAGCTTTCTACCAGAGGAAAGCACTGCCTGGAACCAGCTACCTCCTGCCTCAGGCCCCTTCTCTGGCCCTACTTACCTGGCAGGGGCTTGCAGCCAAGTAATACAGTAATTGTCAGTGCTAGGTCTAGGCAAGCTGCTCAGTCTCTTCTTAGGAAGAAAGGACAGTCCCAGGCCAGAGGAGTCAATCTGGCAAGGCCTTAAAGGATCAGCTCAGGAATGACAGTGTAGTGATGCCTGGAGGGCTATTTCAGAAAGTATCAGAGGTCATCTGTGGCTAGCAGTGTCTGCTGAGAGCACAAGGCCTTGGGATGGGTGGCAGGCACATCAGGTATTTGTCATCCCTGACTTAGCCCTGCCCCCCTTTTAAAATTTGTCCACTCATTTTACTCATCCAACACTGAACACCAATTTTGTGCCTGGCTTACATAGATCTGGTCCGTGCCCAAAGGGATACTATTTCAGGGACAGACTCAAATAAATAACAGTGTTTGGTTTTTTTGTTTGTTTTATAGCCTTAGGGATCAGCCCCAGGGCCTCACATATGCTAGGCAAGCCAAATGAATGGTTTTGGAAAGTGGCATAAGGCAAAGATAGATATACCCAAGAAGGTTGGAACCTGGACGATGGCCTTCAGTAAAATATGCCTTGAAGGAGTTAGGGCAGGCCTCCTGAGAGGGGGGCGGGTCCTCCAAGAGGGAAAGTACTTTACCCCACGCCATGCAGCTAGGCAGTGACAAGCCTACTTTAGAGTCAAGAAAGCTGCATATGAAGTCTCAGGTGTGTGAACAGTTAGAAGGTACTGTGCTAAGGTCCAGACTGCTTTGAGCAACAGAATCACAGGGCTAAAAGACTGACCTTGAGGACCACGATAGCAAAGTTGGCAGGGAGGCAAAGGTTCCTGCTGCCCCACGCATAGGGTCTAAGGCTGAGATGAGAGGAAGGCTTGGGAGGCGCCTAGGATGCAACCAGGGGCCCAGCCTCAGTGCATTTCTGTCTCACAGCTGCCTGTGGTGGAGTGATCCGCAATGCCACCACTGGCCGCATTGTCTCTCCGGGCTACCCTGGCAACTACAGCAACAACCTCACCTGCCACTGGCTACTTGAGGCTCCTGAGAGCCAGAGGCTGCACCTGCACTTTGAGAAGGTCTCTCTGGCAGAAGATGATGACAGGTGAGGCTATCCTGATGGGGAGGGAGGACATGGTGTGGTAATACCCTGCTGCAGGGATGCTCCCCAAACCTGGAGCCATACCCTCCTGGGTCAGCAACCAACCACATAGCTACTATTCTCCTGGCCCAGGCTTATCATTCGCAATGGGGACAACGTGGAGTCTCCGCCTGTGTACGATTCCTACGAGGTGGAATACCTGCCTATTGAGGGCCTGCTAAGCTCTGGCAGACACTTCTTTGTGGAACTCAGTACAGACAGCAGTGGGGCAGCTGCCGGTGTGGCCCTGCGCTATGAGGGTGAGCTTTCTGGGGCCTGATGGGGAACAGGGAGCTATGGTCTTTCTCCTACACCTTCCTCCTCTCTCCCTGCATTCCATCAGTCCCTCCACATCAGCCTCTGTTCCCTACCCCTCCACCCAGGTCCAGGATCGCCACCCCCTCTTTGCAGGAGAACCTTGTCTAGACCCAGACCCTGTGGTCCAACAGAATGAATTCTCCAGGTTTTCAAAGCAAAAAGAGGCCCCAGTACTTGAGGAGGAACTGTTTTAAGGGATACTCTAGACCCATGCATGCATATATTCATTAATTCACCCCCCCAAAAAAGAATTTATTGAGGGCCTTTATACTAAGCATAAAACTAGGCAATGGGAATACAATAGTAAGTAAGATGGTCTCCTGAACATAATGGGAATGGATGTGCTGGGCTGTTCGCCCCCGCCCTCGGCTCCAAGCCTTTGACATATGTTTGTACTCAGGAAGAGAAAGGCCCTGGAGTGGGGAAATAGGAGGACGCCTGCTCTCTGTATTTACCCCAGTCAAGGCTGAGCCAGGCTGGGCCCTGTGGTTTACAGCCTTCCAGCAGGGCCACTGCTATGAGCCCTTTGTCAAATACGGCAACTTCAGCAGCAGCGCACCCTCATATCCTGTGGGTACCACTGTGGAGTTCAGCTGCGATCCTGGCTACACCCTGGAGCAGGGGTCTATCATCATTGAATGTGTTGATCCCCATGACCCGCAGTGGAATGAGACAGAGCCAGCCTGCCGAGGTCAGTAGACACCAGCGGAGAAGCTTGCTGGGGCAGTAGGTGGGGTGGGACCCTGTGACAATTGTGATTCAGCCTTCACCCTGAGGAGGAGGAGATGGGGGTTCCCAGCAACAGATGGCAGCCCCAGGATGTGGCACTGGAGGGAACACTGAGGAGACATGCCTCTCAGGCCTCCCCTGCCTTCCAGCCGTGTGCAGCGGGGAGATCACAGATTCAGCGGGCGTGGTGCTCTCCCCCAACTGGCCAGAGCCCTATGGCCGAGGGCAGGACTGCATCTGGGGTGTGCATGTGGAAGAGGACAAGCGCATTATGCTGGACATCCGAGTGTGAGTGCCTACTGGGTCAGGCCTAGCCAACTCTTAAGATCTCGTCACATCTCATGGGGCCCATCCTTGGGCCTGCCTTGCCCTGACGGTCTTCCTCCACAGGCTGCGCATAGGCCCTGGTGATGTACTTACCTTCTATGATGGGGATGACCTGACAGCCCGGGTCCTGGGCCAGTACTCAGGGCCACGTGGCCACTTCAAGCTCTTTACCTCCATGGCTGATGTCACCATCCAGTTCCAATCGGACCCTGGGACTTCAGTGCTAGGCTACCAGCAAGGATTTGTCATCCACTTCTTTGGTGAGCTTGTGCCTGCCTCACTCAGAATGCAGACCCCAACCCATGGCAAGTCAAAGAGGCCAGGGCAGTGAGAGGCTGGAGTGCTCTTTCTGATAAGGAAAAGACGGAAAGGCCCTAGATATCACCAGAGAAAAGGAGCCTTCTGTTGCAGCATGAGATTTGGAGAAGCAGCAGCAGAGCTTCCTCATGAAAATAAGGAACGAAGGAAATGTTTTTGTTTTTATCTGACACTCTTTAATATAAGTGACCATTTCCCTCACCCTACCTGGTCCCATCTCTCAGATATAAGGAACTTGGCAAGGTGCTTTTGGAAGTGAGGCAAAGGCCCAGATGCTAACCCTAGAGTCTAGGAGACAGAGAGATACTAGGATAGTCAAGGAGAGATCCTTGACTTTGAAGGAATGAATCTCTGAGCCCACCCAGGCCAGTCTGAGCCCAGAACAACCTGGCAGGGTACCCTTAGGGTGAAGGGGCTATCACAGTCACTTTGGAATTAGCCCAGAGATTGCATCTTGCCACCTCTGTGCCCACAGAGGTGCCCCGCAATGACACATGTCCAGAGCTGCCTGAGATCCCCAATGGCTGGAAGAACCCATCGCAGCCTGAGCTGGTACACGGCACTGTGGTCACTTACCAGTGTTACCCCGGGTACCAGGTGGTGGGATCCAGTGTCCTCATGTGCCAGTGGGACCTAAGCTGGAGTGAGGATCTGCCTTCATGCCAGAGAGGTAAGTACCTGTTCCCCATGTCCCCCAGCCCAACACAATCTCCACGCCTCATTCCTGGGTTCTGAGAGAATCCAGTGAGCTTCCTCCCTGTGTTAGTGGTATCCTTGAAAGTCTCTCACCTCTTATAGTCTGTATCCTATGATATTCATCTCCATGAAATGGAGATGATACCTTTGCATAGCATTATCAATCAAGTACTCCAAGTATTTTGTTCCTGATTGATAGCCAATCACTGTTGATCCTAATGAATGGGAAAGGGTCAGATGGGTTTGTTAACCCTAATAAATGGGAACAGACACACCAGGAAATGGTAAAAACACTTTATTAGGGAGTAGAGCCAGATAATGTGAAGCTGCTAGCTGGCCTGGAACAAAACCAGGGTGGACCTGGCCCTCGTTCAGTCCCCCTTGAGTTGCTTCTGTTCATCCCCCACTTTTAGTGACTTCCTGCCATGATCCTGGGGACGTGGAGCACAGCCGACGCCTCATATCCAGCCCCAAGTTTCCTGTGGGGGCCACTGTGCAGTATATTTGTGACCAGGGTTTTGTGCTGACGGGCAGTGGCATCCTCACCTGCCATGACCGCCAGGCTGGCAGCCCCAAGTGGAGCGACCGGGCCCCCAAATGTCTCTGTAAGTGTCAGATGGATAGGCGGGGGACTCTGGTAGAAATAAAAGATGCGGCCCCAGGAGCCTGGCGTCCTCACTGGGCTCTGCCTTTTTTCCAGTGGAACAGCTCAAGCCATGCCATGGCCTCAGCGCCCCCAAGAATGGTGCTCACAGTCCTGAGAAGCGGCTACACCCCGCAGGGGCTACTGTGCACTTTTCATGTGCCCCTGGCTATGTGCTGAAAGGCCAGGCCAGCATCAAGTGTGTGCCTGGGCACCCCTCACACTGGAGTGACCCTCCACCCATCTGTAGGGCTGGTGAGTGCCCTGCTACCCCCAAAACCCTAGGGGGCTGCTGTAGCAGAGATGTCCAGTGTTGAGAACCAGAACCACCTCCATCCCCACCCACCCACCCCCTCTTCATGTTACCTTTGGTCTTCCCAGTCTCTGCCAGAACCTTCTGACATGGCATCATCAAGACAAATGCTGGAGTAGGTTCTCCTTGGACAGACCCTTCCCACGATCAGCCCACTACCTCTGTTCCTTGTATTAGTGGTTTGGCCCACTGGGCTCACCCACTGTCCTTGGCCCTCCCCTCTTGTTCCAGCCTCTCTGGATGGGTTCTACAGCGGCCGTAGCCTGGATGGTGAGTTCTTGCCCTTGAGAGCTAGGAAAGTGGTCTCCCTGTACCTGGTTCTCACAACTTCCAAGCTATGGGTTCTCATGGCAGATGAAAAGCGGAGAAAGAGGTCTGGGCCTACCAGGACAGAAAGCTCCTTCCCTAACCCTAGCCAGCTAGAGGAAACTGGCATCTGCCTGCCCTTGGGCACAGGTGAGGGGAAATGGGCTTCAGATGACAGGGACCTCTGCTCCAATCCCAGCCTCTGTATTTTCAGTTGCCAAGGCACCTGCTACCTCCAGGACCCTGGATGCTGCCCACATTGCAGCTGCCATCTTCCTGCCACTGGTAGCAATGGTGTTGTTGGTGGGAGGTGTGTACCTCTACTTCTCCAGGTAAGTCTGACTTCTTTTCCTGCTCTGCATACCTGACTCAGTCCTGCCTGTACTCCTGACCGACAAGCTCCTCTGCCCCACAGGCTTCAGGGGAAAAGCCCCTTGCAGCTGCCCCGAACACGCCCTCGCCCTTACAACCGCATCACCGTGGAGTCAGCATTTGACAATCCAACTTATGAGACTGGAGTAAGTATCCACGCCAGCCCTGACATCCTGTCCGGCACTGAATTCTCTGTTCCCTTGGGCAGATATCCCTGAGGGTCCCACCAAAGCCTCTCTTTTTCCTTTTCTTTGGGAAGGTGGACTGTGGCCTGGCAAATCTTATGCAAGTTTCCAACTCCCAGCAGTCTCTTTCCTTTGCAGGAGATGAGAGAATATGAAGTCTCCATCTAGGTGGGGGTAGCCTGGGGAAGCTCACTCAGCCCTGCATCTCGACCCAGCAGCAGGGCTCCTGGCTTTCTGTTGTCCCTCCATCTCTTGTATATACCACCTGGGAAGAGATGCCACCAATCCCTCATGAAGTTGTGCCCTTCCCTGCCTGCAGTGCCCATCATGGCCTATTTTCTTGGCACCACTGCCCACTTAGGGCCCGTCCTTGGGTCCAAGTCAGGGGGCACCTGACTGAGTAGAACATAGCTGGAGCACATCATCAACAGCCAGCATCCTCCTGACCCTCCTCCATGCCCTGACCCTCCTGCCTGGGAGTCATAGGCACAGCAGGAGCACCTTTCTCCATGTGGCCACTATCCAGCCCTGGCATGTAGGACACTCTAGCCAGGCTGGTGGTGGCGGAAACTGCACCAGGGTGTTCCTTACAGGACCATCACCAGTGGCCAAAACCGCTCTCAATGGTGACCTTGGGGTAGTTCTAGCATGCCAACATCAGTCCCTCATGGAGGTCTCTAAAGCCCCAGAAGTGGCCGTTGCTGCCTCCTGCTCCTACTTGGTAGAGGCAATAATTCCAAGGGCCCCTAAAGGGGTTCAGAGTCTCTACCCCAAGCTTGGACTGGGCTTCCCTGGGTACTCATGCTCCACACCAAAGCAGGATACCCCACTGCTCCCTAGCAGCCCTGTACCCTGATGAGAGGGAGACCTTCCTCTGATGTTTACCTGGCTCTTACAAACACTCCCTTTCCCACCAGTCCCTCCTCCTGCCACTATCCTCTAGCAGAAAAGGAATGGGCAGGTATATTCTGGAGAGGAGCAGAGGTCCAAAGACCCAGAAATTTGGCATGGAACAATGGAGAGAGCCCCAGGGCTGGCTGAAGGCCACTTTGTACATATAATGTATTATATGGGGTCTGGGCTCCAGCCAGAGAACAATCTTTTATTTCTGTTGTTTCCTTATTAAAATGGTGTTTTTTGAAAAAAATCAAGTAATTGCCAAGTGGATGGTGCTTTTGTGGAGGGAAGGGAGGTGTAAATAAATGGGCTATAGACCTCAGGACCAGAAGGCATGTAGAACCAATCAATCATTTTTAGATTTTATTTAAAAACCAGTTATAGCCAGTTGAACAGGGACCACTGTCCACAATGGGTCAATGCAACAGAGACCCCGGTGGCTCATGCTATGGGAGTGTGGGAACCCAGGAATCCAACTCTTAATCCACCCCAGTGCCTCCTTTCCTCCTCTTTGGCAGGTCTAGAACTACAGGCTGGCACACTGCCAAGTCCTTTCTCAATGCTACTGGACTGCTGACAAGGTCCAGGAAGCCTGCCACATCTCTCCTTTTCTTCCTCAGGGGCAATGAAGCTTAAGAGTTTGGCGCCTAAGTTTCTTTGGGCTCTGGGAAAAGGTGGCCATGCAGGATCGACTTAAGTCTGGCCTTTCCCTATGACTCTCAGAGCCTAAGATGAAAGTATCTGCCCAGAATACACACTCCATGTTTAGAGGTGTCTCCTGTATGGATGCTCTCTAGAGAAAGAGCAGGAGGCAGGAAACAGGGAGTTTCCTGCAACTCCAAAGCCAGGTGACAAAAATCCCTGATAAAAATTGAAGCACCAAACTGTGCATGGTGGTGTATACCTGGAATTCTAGCTACTCAGGAGGCTGAAGAATGACGATTGCAAGTTGGATGCCAACCTGGGTAACTTGGTGAGACCTTGTCCCAAATTAAAAAAAAAAAAAAAATTGAAAGACTGGGAATATAGTTTAGTGGTACAGCACCCCTGCACTCGATCCCAAGTATCGAAAGAGAAACAAAGGAAGATTAACAGCAATTAGCACTTTCTGTTCCTATAGTCTTGTAACTGGGAGGTACTGACCGAAAGTTCAGCCCAACTCGTGGCTCTAACACAAGCCACTTTGAGGGATCTTTCGAAGCTCCAGTTCTGGCAGAACAAAGTGCCTAAATCAGCCACAAGAGGTCGCTTCCAAAGGCATCTGTATGCCACCTGCTTTCCCCAATTCCCCTTGAACATTCCGGGCTGGAGCTTTCCAAGGTGGCACCGACTCCTGCCCTCATTGAACTAACCTCATCCTCTAAGCTTCAGCAGGAAGGTGTGTGGTGTGGTTACCTCCCAGGGCACTTGTCAATAGACCCTCGTCTTATTTTCATCACTAGCTATTCCCTGTTCCTGATCTCAGGTGCAACTGATGGTGTTAATCAAAGCAAAGCTTTGCTCACTGGATATGTACCAAGGGCTTCCTTCTCTGCTCCATAATGCCTTCAGGCTGACACAGCAGCACAGCTGTGCTCTGAGCCGTAAGAAAGAAGCCAGTGAAAAAGGGCGCATGAGGTTGCAACTTCTGAGGGCCTGTGGCATAAAATGCAGCCCCAGGAGGGATAACCTCTGGCCTCTTCCATACAAGCAATCTAGTTCAGAGCACCCTCTCTGAAGGTCACATCTCTAGCTCATAACCGTCTACAGTCTACTGGGGCTAAGAGGGTTATCAAAAAAAGTGAAAAAACAGAAAAACAAGCCAAGATTGGACACATTGGCATCCCTACCCTACCTGATTTACGTATTGTCCAAAAAGAAGGAACAACAACCATTTCTCGGTCAGCAGACAGTAACCAGCCTATAATCATTCTTAGGTCTTGCCATAAATTCACTATGTGACCTACGCAAAGCATTGTTCTCTGCATCTGAAAATGAAGAAGTTAAATCGGGTGGTCTCTACATCCTTTCCTCTTCTACAACCCTGAGAATGCAATGTGGCATAACATTAAAAGTGGGCAGGACACAGTTACATGCAAACAACGTCAGTTAAATCCCTAGTATGAGGCCCAACCATGCAGTTTTCTCCTCCACTGCTTCATCCACAGTCAGAGCAGTACCTGAGGACGGCACTAAAGGGAGGAGCGGGCTCCAGAACACAAGCATGAATCCCCGCCCAGAATTCGCGATGAAGGCATTAGACTACAAACCCCAGTATGCACTGCGGCAGCTCAACGCTCCCTTTCTGGCAGGCTAATCCCAGTCCATCGTGTCTTACAGTACATCGCACGCAAACGGAACTACGACTCCCATAATCCACCGGACCTGTCGCAATTCTTGTTCCCAAGGAGCTATGCGCTTCCGTTCGCCCTTTGAACTCCCTTGCGCATTGCAAACTGGGAGTTAGAGTCCAATGTAGGCAGGTAGCAGGGCGTTGTCTGGATTACGGTTTCTCGGCCTCTGGATTCCTTTTAAAGAGCAGTTCGCAGGGACAATGGTCAAGAGAGGGTAATAACGGGTAGGCAGAACTTTGCACCGTGCCATCACCACTCAAGGCACAGATGCTTGAGTTAAAGTTAACTCTCGGGAGCGGGAGGAAAGTGGGAACACCAGCTACCCTACCCGCCACCAAAAGCGTCGTTTTTTGTCGCAATGGCTTTTCTCTTTACCAATATGGCGGCCTCGCCCAGCCACACCTGATGTTGAACCAAATGGTCCAGTACAACATCTTTGTGAATACTGCCGCTATCGACAGCCTACCAGCTCCGTCCAACACCACACCTCGCTCCTTTCTGCTTGTATCTGAGGACTCCAAGAGCTTAGTAACCCTTATCCCATTACCAAAATGGCGAAAGAAGCAGCTTTCTTGTGAGGGCCTACAAGTGTCAATACGCCTGCGCGGGAGCCCGCCGTGGTGTTATGGGGCGGGAGGGAAGGACACACAACACGCCTGCGCACGAACAGAGTCCTTCTGGTCTACACACAAACACCAATGGATGAAGCGTCCCCGGGTTCCTGCGGCTGCGCCATGACCCCTACGAGCTTTTCCAGGCGCCTGCGCGAGCCCCCCTGGTCCCGCCCTTTTAGCTCAGTACGCTGGCGCAGGGCAGAAAGGCGGGGCTTCGGGGCTCCAGACGAATGCCAGCGCGGCTGCGCGCTGGGGGGTACCCCCTCACCGCGGCTGCGCGGGAGCCCTGCGGCCGGCTGTCACTGCGGTTGCGCGCGGCGAGCGGCGATCCCGGGGCGCCTGCGCGGGTGGCTTTGCGGGCGCTCGCGGTAAGTTTGCGCCAAGTGCGCGGCAGCCGGGACGCAGACGGCGGCGGCGGCGAGAGGCGGAGCCCGGGGACCACCCCCCATCACCCTCCCCCCAGTCACCTCACGTACCACAACCTCACCTAACCTCTCACCCCCCCACCGATCCCCCCAACCCCGGGATGGCAGCGCCCGCCCGCCTTCCCGGCCGAACCAGCGGCCGCCAGCACCGGCTTTAGCCCGTGGGACTAGGCCCCGCCAAGGCCCGACCCCCGGAGCCGGGACCCACTGTGCAACCAGCCTCCTGGCCGGGCTGAGGGGCCGCTCCCCCCTCACGGCCGTGGGGAGGACGCTGCCGTCCCAGGGACTGGGGGCCGGGGGGTGGGGGGGAGCCAGGGCGAAGAAGTCGGGACCCGTGTTGGAAAAAAAGAAGGGGAGCCGGGGTCAGGAGCGCCTCCTTCCCCCGTTTCCCCCCTCCCCCCGGGGTTGGGGGGGCCGGAGCAGAGAGCGCCCAGCCCGGGAGGTGGATGAATGTGGGAGAAAATGGAGACCAAGACGATCGTGTACGACTTGGACACGTCGGGGGGGCTGATGGAGGTAAGAGTGGCCCTCCTCATCCCCTTCTCCAGCGCCGGGAGGGAACCTCCGCCCTCCGCCCCACAAAGCGGGCCCCAAGCTCGAAGCGCCAAAGGGCCTGGGATTCGGGGGGGTTCTTCCTTACCCAGCCTTTTCCTCCCATCTTTCCAATTTGGGGGCCTGAGCTCAGTCTCTGAGGTCGTCTGCAGCAGTTTCACCTACCCGCCGCCCTCGATTCGCTCTCCTGAGGCTCCAGCCCACTCCATCTCGTTGCACCGGCGGGCCTCCCCACCCCCTTCTTGTCGGCCCCTTTGTGCTTCCCCCAGCACGTCCGGGTACCGGGCTTCGGGCCTCTCCCGAGCCGAGCTTTGGAGTCCCCCACTGTCCATACAAGGAAGTGGCGAGAAGGGAACCGCACACCCTCGCCCCATCCCCCTACCCTGATCCTCCCCATTTGGAAGAAGCTGTCCTCGTTGTGCTACTGGAACGCGATTGGGGCGCGCTTCCCCTGGTTCTGGGGGCTGAGAGGTTCTGGGAGCAGTCCGGATGGGAGGAAGAAGGACAAAAGGGGGGAGAGGGGTGGGTGACGGAGAAGCTGCGCCGGGGGGGCGAAGGATCGCCCGGGAGCTCCGAGTATGCACACACACCGTTTGTATGTGTGTGCAGCAAATCCAAGCTCTGCTGGCTCCCCCCAAGTCGGACGAAACAGAAAAGCGGAGTCGGAAGCCCGAGAAGGAGCCCCGGAGAAGCGGCAGGGCCACCAACCACGACAGTTGCGATAGCTGCAAGGAAGGTGGAGATCTCCTGTGCTGCGACCACTGCCCGGCCGCCTTCCACCTCCAGTGCTGGTAAGGTCTGGGGACCCCTTTGGAGCCCCTCGGCGAACCCTCGTCGGCTCGTTCTTTCACCCAGCCTGCCCTTGCCTGCCAAAATAACGGGGTGCTTGCAGCCGCTAGCTGACTCTCTGCAGCTGCTGTGCCGAGCGCCTCCCCGCCCCCGGATGTCTGCCGGGATCCGGCCGTTTTGCTGGGAGGAGCAGCCGGTGGGTCCGGACCCCAGGGTGGGAATTACTCGGAATGAGACGAACCCCATCTGAGACTAGCAGTCGCTGGGGAGCCGGGACCGAGCCGCTCGAGTGCTGCCGGCGGTGGCGGGGGAGGAAGGGGAGGAGCTCCGGGCCTTGTGCGGCTCCGCGGCCCGCGCGCCCGCCGCCCTCTGGGCTCTTACGCCGCCAGGCTTTCCTCAGGGTGGGTGCACGGAGCTCCCGGCCGCTCTGGTCCAGAGCCCTGCGACCCTGCGCTTGCGGCCCTGGAGGGAATCATGGAGGGTGTCTCGAGTCCGCCTCTTCTTTGCCTCTCTGTTTACAATATGGCGACCTGCCTTTAAATTATATTTTTATTCTCAGCGCCATTTTGGCTGCATATATGATTTGCAAACGTCTCCCAGAGAATGGTGGGGGCAGCCCCAGAGTCCCTTCTGCAGAATCTCCTCGGGGACCGGGGCTGGGATCTTGCCACTTTGGTGCCTTTCTCTGCCTCCGCTTGCCCCCTGTTGCCTCTTGGAGCTACCTCCCTCCTCCCTCTTCCCTCCCGTGCCTCTGCCTCTTAGGAAATCGGGCCAGGTTAGACAATTAAAATTGCCCTTGGGCGCTGATTTCACTTCTCCGCTCTGGATCGGCGAGCCCTTTGCCGCAAAATTCTTTGCTGCCGGGGAAGGGTTATGCGCGGTGGTTCCGGAAAGGCTTTTTTAAGGAGCTGAGCGCTGAAAAGCCGTGCACTCCCCTCCCCACCCCCGCCTTACTGAATGTGAGGGGAGGGGAGGGGAGGGGAGAGACCCAGGAGAGAGAGGGAGGAACCCGGGTTGAGCACCCGCTGCTTGATCCTCCTTAGCAGCTCAGCCCAGAACAATCCGGCAGAGTTTAAACTCCATCTTCTCCTGAGAAATCACCCTGCTTGCCACAAAAATCCCACATCTGCGCAGCGAACCCAGATTGCATCTTGTTCGCTGGGTCTTATTCTGTTGTTCAGCAACAGTTGACTGAGACAGGCATTTGAACGCTGGCTGGAGAGAAGACGGAGAGCTACCTGTTCTGTTTGTTCCCACCCTTTTTGTTTTGTTGCGATGGGCTTTCTTTTTCATTTATGTTGCATTTTTTAGCTCTTATTTAAAAAAAAAAAAACAACACTAATTTTCTTTAAGGTGTCAACAGTTATATTCTCACGTTCTGTCTCTTGGCTTGTGGAATAGTGCTTACTGTATTTGTATTAATAACAGGTTTTGGAACACTTATTAGACAGATGGCTGATACTGGCAAATTAAGTCTGTGGTCAGAAGTTATGTGGGATGCTCCCATTACCATTCCGAAGATACTTTCACGCAGGACGGTACCACATCTTGGCTTGTAATGTTACGGGGAACAAAAATTATTATCCTGGAGGGAGCTTTGCTGCTGGCCTTTAAATTTTTATTATGAAATGACTAATATCAGCAATAAAGGTGTGGTTCTTAGTCCTTCCTGTGAGATGTGACCCATCTGAAGAAAATATCTATGGGCAAGTTTCCTTTGCTCTTCTTGAGCACAGGAAAGATTTGTACCTGAGCGTGTTGTGTCACTGGTTATACCCAATTGCTTGCATGTTTTATTTTTGCTTGTTTGATACATTTAGTAAGACTGTGTTGTAGATCTGATTTACTATGGACTACTAGTTTACCCCAGGATGAAATGGCTATTGACCCAAATTAGTGACTCCCCCCGTTGAGTGAGCATTTGATAAGCTCTGTATTATCTTTTTAAAACCTCATTTGTTTAACAATGTTGAAGCTGTTTATTAGAAACTTAAGGCATGGAAAGAATGTGCTATTTTATGTGAGATTGGGTTTTTAAACCCTAAAATCTAAACTCTAAATTTTTAATCAGATAAGTCTGAGTCTTGTCAAATTGCAGCAGCTAAGTTTCTGCTTTTGCTGGAAGCAGAAGTAGGACTTTGAGCTATTGATGAGATTCAGGTTTTCCCGGTCTGTGCATTTCATTGACTTTTTTCCTGCTAGACCATGAATGGGAACTGGCACTAGATTTGAGAATTGTAGTAAATGAGGTAGGGGCTTGTTTCACATCTTCATTTCTCCCTTTGAATATGTCAGTACTCAGTGTTGTCATTGACTTAGCTGAGTTATTATCTACATCACAAAACATCCTAGTGAAAAGGCAGGAAGTCTTTTAAATAGGAATTGCCTAGATGAGTTTCATTCAGTATGTAAGGTTTATCCCACTTTTCTGCCTTCTAACAAAAGTAACCTGGCTGCAGCCACTCACAGCTGTAATCCCAGCTACTGGTGAGGCTGAGGCAGGAGGATTGAAGGTTCAAGGCCAGCCTTCGAAATGTAAGGAGACCCTTTCTGAAAATAAAAAGAACTGGAGATGTAACTTAATCCCCAGTATCACAGGCACACACCCACTTGCGTACTTCATTAACCAATTCAATCTGAGTAGTGAGATCAAGCAGTTAATGTTTCCTGTGTGCCTTTTTATCAGTGTGCCCTTATTGTTGCTTACTTGTACCACATATGGGGAGTGAGATTGGGAGGTATATCTCTATTTTCTCTTGCATCCCTTTTCAGCTGGCTAAGATTGAATTATTTAAATAACAGAGTAATGATAATTTCCCTCGTGTACAAGAGTGAAGTTGGAATTTTACAAATGCTGTAGGTCATAATTATAGTGCTATTATATTTCTCCATTCAGAGTTCTGTGACACAAATCCTCAGTCTTTAGTGTCCCTTGCTAGTGTGTCTCATTGTGAACAGGGTCTAGTAAAAAGTTCCAGAAGTGATTCTGAGGCAGACTTTATCTCCTAAGCTTAGTGACGTGGTCACAAGACACAGGGGATTTTTCTAAGATAAACTGCTAGAGGAAGTGCCTGGTCAAATAAGCTGTTTTAATTGTCCAGTCTTTTTTGGGTGCCAGTGCACTGTTTAGAGGAACACCTATCTTGATTAGATGGGAAGCCCTGTTTCCTGGTTTTCTGTTATGACCTTCTGGGTTAGGGAATGAATTGTCCTCTGCTGAGTACTATAACCTCACCAAAGAATTAAAATTGAGGAACTGCTAGGTGGTCCATGCCTGTAATCCCAGCACTCAGGAGGCTGAGGCAGGAGGATCGCTGAGAGGTCGAGGCCAGCCTGGGCTACAAAGTGAATTTAAGGCCAGTCTGAACTGCAGTGAAACCCTAACTCAAAAAAAAAAAAAAAAAAAAAAAAAAAAAAAAGAATACTTAGTGGATCTTTAGCTGTCTCTGACCTATCCTTTTGTTTGAGATGGGAAGGTTTGTTGTCACTGATTGACTACTATAGGGCATCAGGAATGAGACTGACAGGAAACTGCTGTACCCTCATTGCTTTCTGGTGGCATTTTTCTCTAAACAGACAACCAAAACAGTCTGATTGAGAAGTACATCTACCTCAGCAGACCTCAGCATGGTCCCTTCCCGTCAGACAGATTTCTGTAGCATTTGCCTCCGCATGTTATATTTGGAATTGTTGGCCGGCTTTCCTCTCTGGTGTTGGCAGCAAGATCCAAAATGAGGTTTTCGAAGAATGAGAGTAAAAAGGTCTCTGTGCACAGGCAAAACTAAGCTCAGCTTGGAGTTTTGCATATTTAATTTTCAGTGAGTCATGACAAAGGTTTCACACATAGAATAGCAGCAAATAGATTTTATACAGGAAGTCTTTGCTGTTTAAACTTGTAAGAAGGTGTTTTTTTGTGCGTGTTACCTCCTCTGTAGACTGATATCAAACATAATGAGTTAAAACACACTTACTTAACATCTTACGGCTGTTTTCACATTATAAATGTTTAGAAGCCTGGTACTAAAGAGCTGGGGTTGAAATGTCTGAAATCTTTCCTCTCACCCTGTCCAGCAGTGGTAAAATGATCATACAGTAAGTAGGTTTGGTAGCACATGCCTGCAATCCTGGCACTTGGGAAGCATATTTGTTTCGCATTTGCTATATTCCACTGCAACCTAGATGTGCCATACTGTTTTTAAATGGTACGCCTTTTTTTTTGCCTTCAGTACTGGGATTGAGCCAGAGTCTTCCCATAAGCTACGTCTCCATCCCTTTTTCTTTTTTTTTTTTCTCTCTTTGTTTTGATCCCTTATCTTGCTGAATCACAAACTTGCCATCCTCCTGCCTCAGCCTCCCATAGTACTAGGATTACAGGCATGTACCACCACACCCAAATAGGTGCATACTTACTAAATTAAATGTGAGGCTAGTGCTTCTCAAAAGTGTCTTACTTCAAAGATAAAAGACAAGGCTGGGGATATAGCTCAGCGGCACAAGCGCCTGCCTAGCAAGCATTAGATTCTGAGTTCACTTCCCAGTACCAAAAAAAAAAAAAAATCAAAGATAAAGAACAATTGTTGTTTTGTTTTGTTTTTCAATTGTTGTTTTGTTTTTGTTTTATATTTATTTGTTTATTTATTTATTTGGGTACCAGGAATCAAATTCAGGGCCTTGGGCTTGCCAGGTAGGTGCTATGCAGCTGAGCTACATCCCCAGCCTGATAATCATTGTTAAATATATAAGAATAAAGGAAC